CCTCTCAAATGGTATTTAGATTTATGGCTCCAAGTTCCATATGGAATGGATGGTCACAAGAACCATTTGAATGAAAAGCTCAATTTGCTACCAATCTATTTGAAGTCAAAATTCAGTTCACTTTTTTGGCCCATCCTGTACATTGGGTAATTCTCCTTGAATATAAGTCAGTGAAAGATCAGTAAATAAATGCCTTACATACGTGACAGGCAGAAATTTTAAATGAGCAAAAGAACTGCATAGGAAATTTTTAGCGCTAGATTTATTATATATTTTAAAGTTTTTCAAGTACTGTATACTGTATAGTAGGACTGTGGACCTAAACATTTGTATCCCTTATTGTGCAGGTTTCGTCCCTTTAATTGAATGCGGAATGTAAATTGAAATCGCAATTCCGTCACATTGCTCGCCATTTTTTAGTTTTAAATCACGATGAAATAACTTTTGTTCATCAAGTGAAGAATGTAAGATAACTTGATAAATAACCCTTTACAAACGTCTTTTGAACGACCAAAAACATTTGACAGCTAGGTTTTAGTTGAAAGAAGGACAATATATTAGCTCTTACATGCTCGACAGATTTCGAGAATTCTAAAATGAATGTCTTTTCAGGGCTAATGTGTTTAGCGACTCATCATATGTCGTAACATCTCTGTTTCGAGACGACGTCAATCATCCTATAATGATCACATATTACGGTAACTGATGAGACATTTTAAATTTGATCCGTGCCTTTGTTTTAATTTGGAATGCATTGAATCGTTGAACATACCGTATATTCCGAGAACTAAGAAACAGGCAGGAACAGTAAGTCCTACAAAAAAGCGAGCGATGAAAAACGTCGTCGCATTTGTTGACAAGGAAGCCAGTGCTGTCGCCGAAATCTGTATCCCGAGACCGAGCATGAAAGACTTCTTTCTGCCAAACCTGCGGAATTGATTGATTAATCGTTCTGTTGATTTTATCAGGACGTGTGTATATTTACTGAGAAAGAAATGTACAAGCAAAAAGCAAGGAAACTGCTGCTATGCGCGCTCTTCGAACACTTGGTTGGCTTCAAACGTGCTTCGTTGTAGCAAGTATTTTATTAACGTTATATTATTATAAAAAGGAAAAGGGGAAATGTTTGTAAAGTGTTGTAAAACAAAATGTAATCCATCATCATTTTATTGAGGTTTTCTGCCTGTTCCAGGCATCAGTTAAGTAACAGTCTTTCGCCAATGTCCGTTTGCTTATTTTCTGATAAAATATACAATTTTATAAGATAAATTTCATTCTGAAGCAAGTTTCCAAACATTTCAAGCGTGTATCTCAAACCTTGATCAATCTTTAATGGAATTGAAACCTCGTTACATATTGAACTTCTAGGAATAAAAGAAAATGTTTAAGAAATAATTGTATATATACTGTACTGAAATATCCTCAAAAAATTTGGAAAATTTTCCATAAAATTCAAAAGTTCGTTTGACATGATGAAAACACTTTCGAGGTAAGAATCGGCAAAAGAAAAAATATACGACAGTTCTTCTTGAAGTGGATTTTTTCTTCGGGAAACAGCAGTTTCAGTTCAATTTTCTGATTCAATCAGTGATATCATTTTTCCAAGTAATTCGGAGCAAACGCCACCAATTCGAAATATTTGTAAAGGAAACTGCGGAAAATATTTGTTCTCCTAAATAAAATAAAAAAATTTTAAGGTTCGCGTTTTTGTCGGGAGCTATGAAAAATGCTTCATAATTAAAAAGTGGTTCAAAATAATTTCTCGTAAAAGCATTTGATTTGCATTTAAAATTAAATTGTTTATATCCCAATTTTCACGAACCTGTCGGCGACGTATCCAAAAATTGGCATCCCCAGGCCATTCGCGATTTGGAATATGCACAGGCCGATGGACGGATACACGTCCTTTTCGCACACCAGGTCAAACTAATTCCAGCGATGTAAAGAACAATAATAAGGACCAAAACATTTTCACAGCAACAAAGCCTAACGCCTGACATTTTACAGTTTTTTCTTGTTTGTTTTAGATTCAATTTTGAGTTTAATACAATCTCAAATACAATACGCACATCGGAAACGATGGAAGCAGGAGCAGTCGGGTCAAAGTCCCATCCGTCCCGACATTTAATCAAGGAACAGTCATCTGGGTTTTGAGGACTGCATGACGAAGAGTTTCTTTCAAAGTTGAATTCAAAGCAGGCATTCGTCTTGTTTCCCTATATTGAAAGATAAATCAACTTTAATTTCGAATTTCATCGTCACTTCAACGCCGATAAATAACGGAAGAACGAGTCACTTAATCATTGATGATAAAGCGCAGCAAGGAGTTGAGAAAAAAAATTGTTTTTGCTAATTGATTTACTGATGTTAGTGGTTCAACCCTTCAGCAGCAGAGGCTTCTTTCCCTTATGCGCAGTGATGCCAGGATTTTTCACAGGCTAGTGCATTTTTGGTTTGACCAGCAAAGATCACCAAAGAAATGGCAACAGGTCAGAGTGCCTAAAGGTGGAAAATATTTGGATAAAGCCAGGAGAGAAAAATTGAAAATTTTCAGCAGACCCCCCAAGTCCAACCTATGACTGAAGGTTGAAAATAAATTTGCCATTTGAGAGGTATTTTTTGGATTTCCCAACACTTTTTTGCACAGATAGAAAAAAATACATTGATATTTTAAAACTTAGACTGTATCAGCCAGTGCAATAATTTTTTTTAATTTAAAAACATCTAGTGAGGAATTTCTGAAAAAAAAGTATCCTGGCACCACTATCAATAAAGGTTTATAGCTAGGGGGTTGCTTCTGGTTCATGTATCACAAAAGCTAAAATAATATGAAAATTAACTATGATAAGAAGAGAAACAATCAGAATAACCCTGGTATGAGTAAATTATATCTGACCTTAGCCCAAGCAGTAATTCAAGTCACATTTATGATTGTTTGTGTTTTTTTAATAGGAGACCTCTTGCAGAAACTTGAATCTTTTTGGCAGACTATATCAAGGCAATATTAATTGCATGCTGTTTGAGTTCATAATGTTGGCAGATTGGGAATGGCATTTTAATGAGGTTTCCAATATGTTTAGCATTTAGGAACATTTTTTTCAAAAATAAATGACAGTTGCCAAGGATGATGACTTCTTGGGGATGTTTTGCGGTGGATTTTATTTCCATTGTGTGGCAGAGTTGGGATATTTTTGCAGGCTTGAGCATTTCAGTTTAATCAAAGGTCACCAAAATGCAGCCTTGACTGTGGATAGCCAAAGTTCAGAAAAGTCTGGGAAAGTTAAACCTTTTGTTGATTGAACCCCCACACTATTAATCCCTTAGGAAGAATTCTGAAAAAAATGACACCCAGCAGTGAATAATTGTTTTGATGGCAACTTTTTCTGCAGGAAGTTTAAAAAGTTATGAATTTTCTGGACTTGGCTCTAATGACAAGTAACCTAGCCAAGTTTTTTTTTTTTTCTGGTGCTGCATAACAACAAATTTGTGAAATCCCTGCTCTGATCCAGAAAGGTGAACCACTGGATGCTGGCAGGTCAATTTCCATTGCACAGTGGTGCCAGGAAATTGTTGAAAATTTGTGCATTTTGGTTTGATCAAAGGTCACCAAAACACAGCTTTGGCTAAGTAGCCAAAGTTGGGGAAAATCCTGGAAAGCAAAAACCCTTGTCTTCAAAATTGCTCAATGCTAATCCTGTGTTAGGAATGCAAAAAAATGCCACCTATAGCAATAAATGATTTCTTCTTACAAAAGTTTTTCTGCAGGAATGAAAAAAGAATTCAGGATTTTTCCCAACTTTGTTTCTCATATCATGTTAGGCAATTCCTTTTTTTATTTTACCAGTGGCTCATAAATTGGGCAAATAACTACCGGCAGCGCCGCCCAAGGGTTAATGGGGTGCAACTGCTTGTACAGTTGAACCCCAATAAGACACCACCATTTGTCCAGAGCAATTTTGGCAGTTTAAAGGGGTTGGCGGTTTATGGAATATTTTATTTTAAATTATTTGATCAAAAATACTCGATTTTACTCCAAAAGTCATAGAAATACAGGTTTTCTAGAAACTTCAGTAATTTTCCAATGAGTATTCCTGTGATCAATGGATTACTCTTTCAGAAAATTAATTTTGCTGCATCAATTTATTCAAATTCTAAAATTAGTTCAATACAGTATATTGTTCAAATTTTAAAAAATTGTTTTTTTCTTTTTATGAATGCAAGATCCTTGACAGAAATTATGATTCCAAAACTATGTTGGCGCTGTAACGGAGACAAAACCAACAAGAAACAGCACTTTTGTTCCATCACTGGTACTGGCAGATGGCGGTTGGTGTCTTATCCAGGTTTTCTATAGAATTTAACACGGAGCAGATTTGTTTTATTAAAAATGTTGGCGATTGCCAAGGGTGGCGCTTTATCGGGGGGCGTCTTAACTGGGTTTGACTGTATAACTCACCTCCAGCATGGGAAGTGGGGTTCCCTCAACCACGCGACACTTGTGGTCCACAGGTTTGGGGTACTTGTGGACTAGTTTGACCACGTTGGGCGTCCCGTTGCTCGTGCCGTTGTTGTGGTTCTTGTGGTTGTTGAAGACCATGGAGCTTTTGACTGGGTGCAGGGCCTTTTACCGCAGGTTTGTGTCCTCGGGGGACGACCCGCCTGACTCGTCTTCCTTATCCTCCGCGATCGCGTTCACATCGTTCACATCATCTAGGGAAATGTTCATCTCCGCGTTGTTGGCCAGGTTCTGCGTCGAGTCCGACATGATTTTCGTTCTTTCTTTCTTTTCTTTTTTTATAGTTATTGGTTATAGGGAATGAAACTTATAGTAATGTTCTGAGTTTCTTAGTTTGAAGAAGGGGAGAAATGAGTGAGCTGCATCTTTTCTGGCAGTCACTGCCGCGAGAAATGCGACGGAGGAAATCCCGAGGTCCTTCGTAATCTTTTTCGCCCGCGATATATACGCCGAAGCCCGTCAAGTGTGTTCCTGTGAGAATCGATGCTGCTGTGTACATGTTCGGAAACAACCAAGCTTGCCAACTTTATTCCTTTTTGTGTTCGGAAGCTTTTTGACTTCAAGCATATCATCTTCAAAGAAAATCTGGATTCAATGATCAGCAGCACTTCATAGCAGTGAGCAGCCTGGTGTGAGTATAGGAAAGCAAGACCAAATATTTACATGACGAATGTAACTACTGTATAACGTCGAAATTCAATCCTACATTTTGAAAAATAAACAAGTGATTGCTTTTTCATGCACGCCTCAAAATCCTATACAGAGAAAATAGCTTTATAGCAATGTTTTTGTAACTTTGTAAGAATACGTTTTCAAGGTCCTGGCTACACATTGACGAATGAATCTTGTTATATAACAAAATTTCACTATTCAGCACAAAATGGCCTTTTCCTCCATTCTCGTGAAGTTTTTTATACTTGTGGGAATATAAGCATAATTTTCTTATAAAAAATTTGGAACAACGTTTTTGTGCTGTGAGAAATGTACTATTCTGCTGGAAGACATTATTCTTTCAATTCTCAAGCATGTTGATAAGTGACGGAAAAATCAAGTTTAAAAGGATTAATCTCATATTTCAAAGAGATTGTCACAATTTTTTCAAGAATCTCGGGGCAACAATTTTTTTCGGAGGCCAAGAAGTTTTTGCCAAAAGATTGGGTTGGTGAATCGTGACTTTATTGAAGGTTACATTCATTAATTCAAATATATTGTGTTGATTATTTCGTCCTATGCAGAAAATTATTACATGATCAGCCTTTTAAAAAATTGAAAAAACTGTCCCATTCACGTTTTTTGCTTAGTCTTGCTCAGCCTAGCCATATTGGTGGTTTCAATAATTTAAAATCTTTATTTGAGAAAAATAATGTTTCTTTGTCCATCCACCTTGTACAGTATAGCAGTTGTGAATTCTTCTCTAATAAGCAATGCATGGTTCCACAATATGGATAATATCTATACATGCAGAAAAAAGTTTTGTACTGTATATCACTTCAGTATCAAAGCAAATTTGCATGAGTGAACATGTACGTATATATACTGTACATGCAGCTTTTGAAGCTCAAAATGAACCTCACCTAATTATTGAATCAGCTTGAAAACATATACTTCATTCAGGCCAGGATATAACTCGAGGTCAAATAAGACATAGAAAATTCAATGGATCCATATTCACTGAACTCGAACAGAAACATGCTACGCTCACAAAAGGGCTTCAGTGAATGTTGGTAACACTCGGGAAGTCGAGTCACCGATGCCAGCAAGCTGAAGGAATTGTCATGGACAGGTGGAACTACAGAGGAACACATGTAGATATGTTGTTAGAAGGTAGAAGAGCTGCTGGTTTTTATTAATTTTTCTCGTTCTTGACAAGTGGCATGGAAGTGGGAAGAAGGCCAATGGGGCGGGTGCGAACGAGACCATTAATGCTCTTCCGCGTGTTATTTTATCTGTTCAGTGGGCGGCATTGACCCTTTCTGATGTACACAGAATACGGTTCATGCCGTCATGCGGCGCTGTTTTATATGCGCAGGATCAGATGAGATATGCTAAGAATCCAAGAGGAATTCATGCGCAGGGAATTCGAAAAAGGTTTGCTGCTGGTTGCGAACAATTCGAAGATTCATCATAATGCTCAGATTACCTGGAAAAGTGCTGTAGGAGTTCACTACAGTATACAGTATAGTGTAATACAGTATACTGTACAGTACTACACTAAGTGTCCGTGAAACAGGTCGAAGAGAATCTGTGATTCAACAAATTAGCTCTATATCCGAGACCTACGACTGCTGCGACACATGGCGATACTCCAGCTCTGAACTTCAGTCAGCCTGAAGCGAGCATGCTGTGTTGTTGTCGCGTCAGGAAGCGAGAGTAGAAAGTTGTGAGGTGATGTGCGCTTGCAAGTGCAGCGATTATTTTTTACGGTGCTTGTAGTGAAAATAAAACCGTTTGAAATGTTGTTATTGATCTTGGAAGTTGGTTATATTTTGGTTAAGCTCGAGAAGTTCGAGCATTTTTATTGTGAATCAGTACTGTACTTAAAACCGGCGAAATAGATCGCATCGAAATTTATTCCTGCATACCGATGAGTTTCTGAGGCCGACTTGAAATTTATTTTTGAATCTGGGCAGTAAAGGCCAGCGAGTAAGTGTTGAAAACGTGTGTGCGGTGAGATCTGGATACGCAGAGCGACATATACAGTAGATTCTGATTCCAAATGGGTGTCATTAGACAAATTTTTATGACATATTATGAGCTTCGTCCCGGAAGTTACTAAAGCTTAGAGTAGCGCCATATGAGTACCTGACCAACTCTGTACTACCGCACGTTTGGCCGAGGACTTCTTGTGCGCCGAAGAGCCCTGGACAATTTCGGGTGCATTTCGTTTCAAAGTATTTTGGATACTTTCAATGCGGCGATAAATCAAGAGCAAGCGTGGGCGGTATGCTTTCAGTTCATTCGAACTGCAAAAGCCTGTTTGGAGGAAAACCGTTCCGCGTGCTTTTATGCCACTCAGTTGGAACATGTAAAAATACACAAGGATGGTTCAGTGCATAGATCAACGTTTCTTGGAAATCCTGCCGATGCAGGTTTGTAGTTGTTTAATGCTGTTTTTTTCTTTACCATCACGAAATTATATCACCAATTCCAGATTTTACCTGGAGAGAACCGGTTACTTCCGACTGCAAGGTACTGCTTGTCCTTATTTTTTCCTGAATTACGTCAGTTTGAACTGCATTTTTTATGCAGCTGGTTGCTGAACTTGGTCTGATCATTTACAAAGCCGTGGATTACGGGCTTGAGCAAGATGTGGAACGAAAATTGGACAGTGCTTTGGGCAACCTGATTTATAGGATGGTGCCATCCGGTAAGTAACACGGCGTTGTTGAGAATTCTCTTCGAGTTCAGTCATGTTAATCATTATATTTTACTCGCAAGCGGCAACTGCTAATCCAAGGCCTTGTGAGTCTCGGGAGAGAAGTCGAATGACCTGTCTTTCTTTCTTGTTACGTAATGTTTTCATTTTCTTCCATCAGATCCATCAACAAATGATTCTCGAGAGGATGATGAGGGAATTGAACAGGATGCGGGTGAGACAGATGACGGTGACAAGCCAGGAATATTGGACGAGATTTTAATGGTTTGTTGCCCTACACGATACATCGTAAACCTGGTATCGTTTGGGATAAGGGAATAACATAAAATTTCTTAGTTCAGCTCGGCAATACAGCTATTCTAGTGAAAGACGGATACTTGACTGAATCGACTGAGGAGACGCTCACTTCTTTGATAATTGTGACGAAGACCGGAGCACTATCTGAACGAAACTGTTGATTATCTCGTGCATTTTTATGTCGCATGTTTTAAGTAAGTTTTTACTTCTTGCGTACGAAATAACAAGCAATATTCTTTGTTTTGTGATTCATCCGCAATCTTGTGCATTTATGGAAACGGGCAGAATGGGTCGTAAATGGGTATCCTTTTCATCGAAAAAGAATTACCTAGTTTTCTTTCAATTGAAGCATAATTTTGAATTATTTTTCTCAAGTATTGATTTTTAATGCATTTTAATACTCCGGGGCTTCTTTAAAAATAAAAGATCTGCGTGATGAAATTTTGAATAATTTTATTTTTTAAATTCTAGAATTAAAGAACCCGAAGCGTTGAGAAGCTAACTTCGTGTGAAATGCATTGTATACATGTCCAATTTCTGCGCATGCATAAGCTTCAGGCTTTCATCTGCCGAATTTAAGTTTCTCTCAATAATTTCCACTATTCAGAATAAATCAGTTTCTGTAAACGAGAGTATTTTTGATTGAAGTGTAGCCTGTGGAGTCGAATATTGCGAGACGTGTCGAGGTTTGTTCTGTACGCATTCAATGCATAATCATTTTCGGCGGAAAATGTTAATTTTAGAATTAATAATTTTTATGCCTACGCCGCCGTGCTGGTGAAAGATCTGAAATTAAAATTCTCATAACCCCACTGTTGAAATTCTTGATTAAAATGTGAAGCCAGTATTCTGTAATCATTGTATAAATCTTTGCAGGAGTGTATTAATAACCTCAACTTGACTGATGAAGACAAAGCTGATCTACATTACAAACCAGTCTGTCGCGCCCTCGTAACCGAATGTATGGACCTGGTGACATTTCTGGAAAAAGTTGGAAGAGGGGCAAAAGAATTAAAAGCCACCGTTTTAGCGGATGGCCGGGATTTTAATGTTCATGACCTTCATTCCACGGACTGGGTGCGTCAGCTTGTTGGAACTAGTCATCGGCGTTGCCCTTAATTCTTTTGGTCTTACATAATCCCTCCTACAGGAACGACTTTGGGTTCAAGTTATCAAACAGCTGCGTGACGGAGTCAAGTTGAAGAAAGTGGAAGAGAGCAGGGAAACGAATCCCGTGGAGTTTGAGCTGTCCCCCTACGAGATGTTAATGAAGGATATTCGATCGAAGAGGTGGGGATTTAAATTAAATGAAATGATGAAATTTCGCTTCATGCATTCGTCTTTATCTATATCCTAGATATAAGCTCAACAAAGTCCCGCTCGAAGGAGGCCTGCCCCCGAAAGTGAAGGAAGATGCGCATGAAATCATCCTGGATTTTATCCGGTCGCGTCCGCCCCTCAAAAAGGTTTATTTCCAAAGAAAAAGAGAAGTGTTTGAAAGTTTTTATTGGGTTTCGAGTGGACTTTCACTCAAATAGTTTGAATATCCCTGAATGCTTTGAATTCATGAAGAAGTTTTTTTGGTTATTTTTCGCCATATCTTCTAGAGTTGAGTTGTCGCTGAAAAGGGAGTAGAATTTTTAGTGAATGCAGTCTCCTGAGATTTTTTTTTTATTTTCGTTGTTTTAAAATTCTGAGGTAGATCTTCAATACGTCTCTCGAATGAAAATTTTCTTCAAGAGTCGTTCAAAGCAGGGAAAAAATTTATTTCCTCATCAGAAGGTGGAATTTTTACTCAACGCCCAATATAATCTCTGGTTCAGCTCTAGGGCGAAGCGGAAAAATGATGTAAAATACTGTTTTTACCTTTGAGCACAAAATTGTTCTCGACTCCCGAACATTCAAACCCAGTGAGCAGAAACTAAATTTCACTTGCATTGAAACCCCATTCGTGCATCCAATGTTGTGCCTATCCTCATGATCACCGAAGTTTATGTTTAGGTTCCCGACACTGAAAGATTGCCGGCAAGATCAGAGAAAACCTTGCATGAGCAACTGATGGAAGCGATACGAAATACGGCCCCGTCTTCCTTGAAGCCAACGCGGCATTCCATGTCTTCTCTTTCGGTTCCATCAACTGCTGGTGCTGGTAACTCTTGTTTGAAGTTTCAGCTAGATTATCTTCACTTGACGCCTGCATTCTTTTTAGATGAGACTGACACTCCGAGTGGATCCACTCGTCGACGAATCACTGTAGACAATTACTTATCGGTGTTTGACGAATCGGATGTAAGTTTTTATTCAATATTTTTATTTATGGTATATTCTGTATGAGAGGACTTTTATTTCCGACGCAGGAATCCGATACATGTTTGGATTCTGAAGCTCCTGTAACTTTCACACCGAAAGTCGCGCAATCCTCCAAGAAAATACTCATGTTCAAACCGGATAAACCGAAAGCGAAGCGTCCGAATAAACTCGAAAATTCGAAAGCTGGACGAACAAAGGATTTTCGGCGTTATTCGTCTGAGTCTGTTAGAGCAGAAACGGGGAAACAATCGCCTGAACCTCCTCCTTTCTCTTTGGAAACGCCGTCATCGAAGTCTGTATTTCAGGAAGCGTTGATGGAATCCGTAAGTATTTATTTTAAAGCCACAACTACAGTATTCCAATAAATTATAAAACTTTTTTTTTTAATTTAATTTTTGCAAAACCTGGGTTTGTCTTTGAATCATGCAAAATTCGACTGCATGGGGGTTTTTCAAAATTGTCCGCCCATTGAAATGAATCTCATTGAACATGCAAGAGGATGATTCAATTCAAGTGTAGCAATTTTTTTTTCTTATGACAAGATTGTCTTCGTGATGATTTTCACTGAATTTTCCTAAAAATTAAATTTTGTCTTCGTCGCAATGCGTTATCTTCTGGAAAATATTATTTAAAATTCATAAACTTTTTCGTCCGCCATTTTCAATGAGCTTTTCTTGAATATTGTCGACACCGGTAAAATTCTTGCTTCAGTTCCTATTATAAGTGCACCTAGGGATTGATAGTATTTTCGAAAATATACGAATATATGTATCATTTAGCTTGATTCCAAAATTTTATTTTGCAGCAAATGTGGCAACAGCAAATTGACTGTCTGACGCTAACATTGGACGAAGTGGTTCACATTCGAAGTGTTCTGACGAGGGCGGAGTTGGAGACACTCCTGTTCGACATGAAGCTTTACAGAGACGTGGCCACTGGCAAGGTATTTTATCTTGGAGGAGATTTTTCAATTTTTTTTTTCAAGAGATGATGGTTTTTTTTTTAAACTCTCTTTTGTTTAGGTGTGCTTTTCCTGTCGTAAAACGAGATTCGGTTTGTTCGGAAGCAAAGACTACACGTGCAAATTGTGCGAGCAGGTTGTTTGTCGGAAGTGCTGCGCAAAGGTTATTCTTTGGGTCGTCGTAAAAAGAAGGGAAATATCGGAGTAACCGATTTTGTGTCGTTCCTGCAGATGGCAATTCCGATGGATCATATCCAGACTGTACCTGTGTTTTTTCTGAGTCCTCCGCAAAGTGGTGACCCAAGCCCAGTGAATCCTGAGGCCCGTACGGGTCCTCGATCCCTTTTATCGAAATTGGAGGGCTTATACAAGGAGAATTCCCAACAGTTGAGGTTATTTACTCATTCGACAGCTTTTTTGGCAATTTTTTTTTCATTCGATAGGAATATTTTTCGAATAAAAAGTTGTTTTCTTCCAGAAATTCTGCGAGCAGTGCACCGAATTCTCCGAAATTGTCACGTTCAAATTCGAATGCAGCAGAGTCTCAAATTTGGCGTTCGAAGTCGCCCCAAGTTCTCAAAGGAGGGTAAGTTCTGCTGAAAATAGGTTTCCTTCGCGTTGATTAATTTTAGGAAAGGTTGCAATTAAAAAAAAAAATTTTACGTGAACTGGAAAAATGTAGCCTCAATTTTAGATTTATTTTTGCTCAATTTTTATAGCCACTTTATCGAGAAGAATAAAAAAACCCATATGAAGCAATCAATTTTACAGTGGTTGAGTTGTGCATCTCTTGCTTGCGAATTGGATAAGAAGTGTCGGCATCAAAAATCCCGTTTAAAACAGGAACGTTCTTCGCCCACCGGAGGTGTGGAATTTTGTATGATTTTTCTTGATTCGCAGTGAGAAAGGGTCGTCGATTTTGAGACGGGAAACGATGAACGTATGCACGGATTGTCAAGTGATGGTCAAACAAATTATCCTGTCGTCGCAGAAAGCCCTTAGAGCTAAAGGCAAGAGAAGCACGAGCGTGGAAAACCAAAAATCAATATCTCCTCGAAGTCGACCTGAGTGATGACGCGGGAATCCCGCAGTTCAGCTTGTTTCGAAAAATTCGCTTCTCTTCCTCATGAACCACCTTCTTACTTTTTGCTTTAATGAACTTGTGCTTTTCGAAGAGCATTTCATTGTCTGAAAGAGACGTTAGAATGAACCAAATATCAATCGCGCAACAAAAAAAAAAGAAAGAGACAGCTGTGTGAGTATTTTTAGCCACATATTACGAGGAAGCTATGGATGAACGAATGCTGTGAAAATTTGGAGTTGTGATATTATCAGAAGGCTATCTATCGATAACTTCTTTTGTTGCTCACGACCGTGACTTTCAACTACTTGCAATTGAATAATTTTCTCATTTTATTCTCTTCCCTTTTTTTCTCAAGTTCATAACTCGATTAGAATCGAAGAACCACGTAACTCTTACATTTGTGACGTTCGTTGCGAAAATTTCATGTAAATATAATGATACGGGTAGAAAGTTGGAGGGGGGGGATATTGAGTCCAAAATTTACATTTTTGTCTGTAGAAGCGAAAACTGTTCGTGCCATGTTGGGAAAAAAGTCAACTGATTTGCTTCAATTTCCGGAATCTCTTCGATTAGACGTACTTAAGAAAGGTTTGAGTTGCTGCTGCAACGGGTCTGTGATATTTTTAGTTGGAAGTTTTTTGTTGAGCGAAATCCGAACTTTTTTTTTGCACTTTTTGAGTTTGTGAGGGCATCGATGTGCCGAAAACGAGCCGTTTTGAACAAAATCCCCCAAGTGGTTGCGATTGTATCCATGCATTTGTTCAGGTGAAGATTTTTCTTGTATTAAATTGAGTGTGAGGAAAGGAATGTATCGTTACCTCATCAAAGAATGTATTCCCAGGACTTCTTTCCCGTCATTGCATTTTCCAGTCTGTTGAATTTCAGCATTCCAGAAGACATCCTTCGTAACGATGCCATTAGGTCGTGAAAAAGGCAAAGAGTCTGTTTACCCATTCTAATGAGGATCTGAGCATGGAATTGTCGAATTTAATCATTTTTTTTAATAACCTCTCGCCTCTGTGCTTGCTTGTTGATTGAATAGGGTGCAGTTGTGAAAGCTGGGAAACGATTTGTGAGGTTGCCAATAAATTACATTTGATTGCATTCAAACTGTATTTATTCGCCCATTCATTGCTCGTATGATAAATTCCGTTCTACATTTGTTCCGTGGGTAATTTAAAAAAAATACTGTCATTAGCATCAACTCGGTGGATCTCTTATTACAGCTATAAGCCACGTGAAATGAATGTGGGTTAACAGCTCTTTTTTATTGCAGTATGGTGTTACTTATACATATACTGTTCCACCATGTATGAAAACATAGCACCATAAAATTAAAAAGATCGCACAGCCCTGCGCAAGAAAAATTAGTGTGAAGGAGTAGAACTGTGCCATGCTGGTATCGACGGAAATGACTCGATTGTTCGTGTTGAGTCATTTAACGCTTGGGAAGGAAACTCGTTCAAGGCCTTTTGAAAACGAAATCTCAATTGCACTCGCATTATTCTCTCGCCGCCTTTGTATTATTCCACATCTAACTTGGAATAATTGGAGCGATTCACAAGATTACGGTTAGTGTCGCTTCAAGGAAACTGTTACAATTCGCGGTTATATTGTTTGCTCGAGGAATTACATTTAAAAGACCCGAGGACGTTGAAATTGGCTTCCTTCAAAATTTTCGTGGCATTTATTTTGAGAATTGTTCCCGGTACAGTATAACAAACGGCAAAATATCGTTCTTGAATGTAATTCGTGTGACGCTTTTCTAGGATATATACAGCAGTCCGTCTTCTTTAATATGTTGATTCGTTATGATTATTATGGAGTATATAAACAAGCTGAAAGACTTCATGCGTGCGAAAATTTTTATTTCTTTGCGGGATAATTTTTGTTTCATTTCCAAGTTTCAGCACTCGGTGATTTCATCAACTGATGCTTAAGCGATTTACCTGCTTAATCCCATTATGTTTTCATCCTTTTTTTTAATCCAATTTATTTGGTACCGTATATGATATTACGAGATACTGAAAATTTTGTACAGGGATTGTGACATACCATACTATTGACATGTAATGTATATGTATCTGATTTTCTTTCCTCCAAAGCGAACATGCGTCACTTGTCATCCATATACCGTATATACAATATTATAAGAATAAATGCTTCATAGAAAATATATTGCGCTGAAACTTCAATAAGAGAAATACATCATGGCTTAGTATCCCGAGTGGGGAGCTATTTTTGCAATGTGCAGTATTTTATTTGATTATTTCCCCAGCAGAGATCACTTTACAAAAGGGAACGTTCTATGAGGTTCATTTTAAAGATCAGTTAGAAGGGATGAGAAACAAGCATCCAACAAAATTTTAGGGATACATTCATATACAGCCCTCAGCACAAATACACGATTTTAAAATAATAATAATTTTGAGGTTATCGCAAATTCACCATTAGGAATTCACGATCTCCTATAATATCATGACATTACAAAATTTTAGGGATACATTCATATACAGCCCTCAGCACAAATACACGATTTTAAAATAATAATAATTTTGAGGTTATCGCAAAATTCACCATTAGGAATTCACGATCTCCTATAATATCATGACATTGACTTTCCGAGTAAATTTCCCATTCGTAAAAAATCACAGATCATATATTCATGCGTGAAAATATACATGAAAATATAATGAGCAATAGTGATGCCGAATATTGGGTATTTGCTGTCGTTTGTGCTGGTTTGCGAGATAAAAATACCTTTCGTGAAAAAGAAGGTGAGGCATCTTCCGCCATATACGAGTATTATAAATATGCTCGCACATACTGTATATATATACTGTATTTGTTATGTACATATATATGAGTATTCCCGTGTACAAGTCTCGCCCACGCGTTTGTTTACTTTTCTATCCAAAGTTCTCCGCGCGTCATCAAACACGGATTCTTTTCTTTTCTGGGTGATAAGATAACGAGCAACCAAAGCAAGATGAGAATTGATCCCTTCTCCCAAATGTTCTCAGAACTTTTTTCGGCGACGACATTCGAAATTCGTTGGGCTTCGGGTTAGCCGCATCTTATTTTATTTTTTCGAGTCAAACAACTGAATTTATTTTGGGGGAACTTTCATCGTGAGGATATAGAGGGCATTTGATCAACAGTGATTTTATTCTAAAATGACATTGAGTTATTGATGTGCTCAATATATATACTGCATACGCTTATCGTTCACGCTTTGGGTGAGAAACCCAGAAAACACCTGTTTTATGCTAGGGAAGTGTCGGGTACTGGGAAATAGAAAGCATGGTGTAGATTGACAATATATTACGAATATATATTATGCTGGTCTTTTAAAAAAAAGTTTTCGTTTTAAAAAATAATTCCAGACGAAATACCCCAGATTAAATCACACATATGTTACACATATGGTTGATGCTCTTCCAAGAAGCATGTTCTATTCCATGAATTTGGAAATGTCCGGATTTCACTATCCTTTCTTGTCCCCCCGAATTTATTTTTTTATTTGATTCTCGTGACGTTATTCGAGCTGAAATTGCCTGCCTTATTTTTAACAGTGAACAGCTTGAAATGCTTGTACTGAATATATAGAAGCAATATAATGATCAGGGAAGTGACTAATGCAAATTTTGTGCTTGCCTGCGGTCATATGTATAAGAGGGTCAATTAATACTGTGGCGGATGCCGATAAACGAATGCGTGCTGGAAAACAATGAATGTTATACAGTCCCTTTAAAACTGATGGGCAATCGAGTTACGTACTCCACCGAGTGCCGTACGTTCGAGTCAATAACGAATTAGACGATTGCATATTTTAAGGCAATTTCAATAGGCTTACAGCAGGATATTTCTTGAACGAGCGAAAATAAGTCAAATTCAGGGAAAAACGTTCAGCCTGCGCTGCCGCCCTAATTTTGACGGTAAAATGGCATGATTTATGCTGATTACATGCATATAATAATAACGCATGGTTATTATTTAGTTCAAGTGAGATATTATAGCAGCGTTTCGGTACGGTAACTTCTAATAAGGTATTTTTCAAACATCGTCGTGTTTTTTTTTCACCGTTGAATTCCAGGTCCAAACGGGAATTCACTGTTTGTAAGTTCCGATTGCAAGCTCGAAATCAAAACTTTTCCAGACGACTTCAATTACCTTGAAAGCAAGGGTAATTAAAATGCGGTTCCAGAAATATAATAAAGAGGCATTCATTCCATCAAATCAAAATTTATACACCGTGTATATATGTTATATATTATATACGTTTCTTTCCTTGCGAGTTATCAGAACGCAGGCTATTTCATTCATTACACATTAACTTTTGAAAAATGTCAATAACGTGTGAGTATAAAAAATGTTCGTGTGCATTTATTTACGCTCGGAATATTCAAAATTTTTAACTAATGTGGAAGTTTGATTTTTATTTCCATCCGAAGGCTATTGAAAAAATATCTGTCATATTGGATTATGTTGGCTAAAGATTAGATCAGGTTATTTGCATCGTGGTTAAGGTAGATTAGATAGGTCAATAAGAGACCCAGGATGTCAGGAGTGACACAGCATTGGAATAGGTAAGATTCATATATACATTAAAAACATGCTTTAGAATAGTGCTCAAAGTCATTAAATTCATAGGATTAGCCAATTACAGCAGTTTGAAGACGCAAAATAGGACTAACCACCACTATACTGAAGAAACTGGGTTCATGTCTTACTACTCAAGGATGCGTGGTACTTGAGTAAATTTGGTACTTCTTGAGCAGCATACACTTTTTGGAAATTGGAAACATGTTTGTTTGTCATTGATTAGAGCTTCCCTCCATGCTACAATAAAAAGCCACTCGTCAAGTCATCAGTCACTTTACAGAAATTTCAGATTGTGCCTGTCTAAGTCAGGAAATGTCTGTCTGGAGAATCTATGAACCCTTGGAAAAGCAGAGGGTTCATTTCCATTGAGTGGCAGTGTTGGGATTTTTTTCAGTTCAAAGGGTCACTGAAATGCTCCCAGGTTGGGAAAGGCCTAAGTTGGAAAACATGTGGAAGCTGAACTTCTTATTGTTTCAAGGAATCTCCAATGCTAATCCTATGCTAGGAATGCAGGAAAAAATGTCTTCCAGTGAGGGATTTTTTAAATTTTTCATGCAAAATTGTCTGCAGGATTATTAAAAAAATACATTGGACTTTTTCCTGACTTAGGCCTTGGTACAACAGTAGAATTTTTTGTTCTGTGCTAAGCATAGGCACAACATTTTGCAAAAATACCTCAACTTTGCTGCATGATTGTTAAACACTCCTCCACAAGTAAATTGTTAGACTGTAATTGGTAAGTTTGTTGAAAAAATTGCTTTGACATGTACTTCTAAAGGCTTTTTTCAAGGACTTGAGAAAATGTTTGTTAAACAGTACTGAAAAAAAATGTTTAATGGTCTTTTTGCTGTAGAGATCCCCTGCTACATCAAGAGAGAACCCCATGGGACCCCAAAAACTCTGTTATGATACAGCAGAGAATATTATTGCAGACTACAGATGCATTAATTTTTTTCAAGAGAGTACTGTATTTACTCAAGTACCACCCACACCTTTTTTCTCAAATTTCAGAAGAAAAAATGGGGTGCGCATCATGAGCCGGTACAAATTTTTCAAGAAGTTTTAGGAAGTTATGTGTGCATGATACCTAATTATAATGGAGAAATAAATTTGGAAAAAATGTAACATGAAAACATTATTGTACTGACAAAGTTGAAAATTGATCAGATTCTTGTTCAATTCATGTCTAAAGTCGATTTTTGTTTATATTTTCGAAATTTTGTGGTTTTACATTCACTAATAATTGGGGTGCGCATCTTACTCAGGGATAAGATTTTAGCCAAATTTCCAACTGAAAAACCCCCGTGCAAGCCTTACTCAAGGGCGCGTGGTACTGGAGTAAATACGGTAAATTATTATCATGGATTTTTTGCGAGACACCCTGTATTACTATATGCACACCAAGCAGCAAAAGGAGAAAAAGGTGGGAGTGCTGCACAGTATACATATATATATATATATATCACAGCGTCTCACAGGCTGGGCTGACGACGTCGACCGCGGTGGTCGTGTGGGGGGGACCAGCAGCCAGGCAAGGGAGTCAGTCCCGGGAACTCACACGCGGGCACCGGGTTCGCAGCGGACATCCGGCTTCTCGTCGTCGTCCTATCCTCAATAAGCTCCGGCAGCAAATATATATTTTGTTCGCTCTCTTCGCAAACCATCAATGGTTATATATTTTCCCATTACACGAGTGACGTCAGAATCCCCGGGGTTTCCAAGTGCATAAAATATAGAAGTTGAACCTCTTCAAGTGGAACTTTAAAATTGGGGTTAGGAAAAAAATTTGTTTTGGGGGAAGAAAAAAAATTACGGGATATTTTAATTGGAGGTATCCTGGGCCTTGAATGATTTGACAGCAGGATCTGCTGAACTTGGGCGCAATAGGGTTCATTTGCCCGATTAGTGCTTTATTCAGTTTATTTCAAAACATTGAAAGTTACTTTTTTATTTCGTTTTTCTTTCCTATGTGTCAGGAAATTAATAGCCAAAAAATTCCTCAGAAAATTCGACTTCAAAAGGATTTTGAGAGGAAAAGCCTTCACATTAGAAACATTTTAATGCATTGTTCATAATGGAATTCAGATTGAGGCTAGAGAAAAAAATGACTTAAGGAGGTATCCGACTTATTGGGAAGGTTTAAGTTATGGAGGTTAAACTGCATATGTATATGTACAATATAGGTGAAAGAGAGAAAACTTGAAAGCAAATCCTTTCAAGTGCAGAACTGATTACGAAGAATGAAAGAAAATCAGGAATGCGGCAGTTTGTTGCTCATTTCATCGGCTTCGTGAGGTCAAGTGGTTTGTTTTGTTTTATTCATCTTTATATTTTTTCTCAGATCTTTGTCATCGCGGAAGTTTAAACAAATAAAGATCTGAAGTATTTGAAAAATTCCGGTTGTGGCTCAAAAGTCAAGGTGATTTGAAAAATATTTTGTGCAGTGAAAAAAGTAAATTAAATTTTAGCTCGAAAAAGTGCCTCGTATGTGTCTTGCCTGCTTCACGAAAGCAAGTGTTCTGCAAAAAAATTACTGTGCGAATTTAATGAAAACCCGAGTGCATATTGAGTTTTTATGGTGCATCCATTTTTAAAGAAGCGTTCCTCAGCTCAAAATGCGTAAGAAAAATAGTGCTTTAAAAATTGAGATTTTCGGGAATCGAAAATACGAGTTGAATGGTTTTATAGCAGAATCCCTATGAAAAGATGGACAGGTTCAGTAAACCGCAAAATATTTTCAGGAAATAGCTTCATACCGTGAAGGTAATCTTTCAAGAAATATTTATTATACAGTATGAACAAATTATTCTCAAGATCCCTAAATTGCCCTTTTTTTTTTTTTAGTCTCATAAATATGAAACCTTTTTTATTCCAAAGGTTTTCTCGGGTCTCGATGGCTTTCTTGTGACAAGATCATCTTCAAAAACTTTTCTGCTGTATAGAAAGCTTATGTCAACAGCACTGATGATGCTGGTGAAAGGAAGATCAGCTCTTTCCCCTTTTTAGACTGCAGGAACATGTCTCCGAACTTCTGTCAAAAGCAAAACCGAACAAAGGAGCCATATTCCCTGGTGCTTCTGCTTATTCCTCTTATATATATATATTTATATATATGTACATATACTCTATAAAGATATATTCCCTCCTATTGAAAGTGGCTTTGAAGAGCTTGCTTTACCTTGAACCTCAGATCTTTTGCTCAGGATGCCTTCCTACGCTCAACAAACACGTGTCCATGCTTTTTTCTGTTTACAGCAGCCATAACACAATTTTCTTTGCACATTTTCTTTGAATATTTTTCTGGGTTTGCAGAGCATGTTACGCAAGTTTTACAAGATTAAAGAAAAGTATAAATACTGCGCTGTAGTCATTTACGCAGCACAGCAAACGAACAAAAATATACGTTTTTGTGGAGGGTTTTATCTCGAAATTATTTCTTTAAAAATGCGATTCTTTATATAGTATACGAATTCAAGAGTTTTTCCTATAAAATACATTGAAATCTGCTGCAAAAAGTGAGCTTTTTTAAGGAGCATGATCTGCGACGAAAACTATGTAAATCTGTAAATTTTTATTCCTGTTTTGTTATGGAATATACTCTTGACAATCTGTTCAGTCTGTGCATTTTTTTCTTCCAAAATCAGGTCTCTGAGGAAACTAATTTACATAATTCGATCCAATTTTCGATCGTAGGGTGAACCATAATCCCAATTATGACTGCTTATTACGACTTCAAACAGCTCCTGGGGAAAATTTTTTCTTCGTAAAAGCGGCTTTTTCTCAAGCGTTTTTGGAGTATATAGAGGAAAATTCCAAAAAACTTCATTAATATTTCCACGGTATGGAATTCGTGTGAACATAAAAAACGAATTGATTTACTCCAACAAACGAATTGTTACCCAGTTGATTCAGTATATATATATATATATATATATATATATATATACGGACTATAAGCAACACATTGCGTGAAATTACTGTATATACTGTGATTTATGAATGACGTACGGGAATTGTGTTGGACGAGGAAACATTTGTTGAGGACGTGATTGAATGCAAGGATTAATAGATCTTCATGCTCCAGTGCTGAGAAAGGCTGTTGTATGGGAACGACGCTGACGTAAGTGAATAAACGGTGACCATAAGGCAAGCGATTTTCTGCTGACGTTTCTTTTTTTTACTTTTTTAGCCGCACGATAATAATGAAGGAATAAGTGCTAATTGATGTGTTAATTCCGCAATATCCGCAATATGTTCATTGATATCTTTATAGTAAATATCGGACTCGTCTGCCGTTTTTATCATATTTTCGCAATATTTCTGAAGACGTTGAGGAAGTTTGTTCGGTATTTGAGGATTGAATATTGGCGTGTTAGGTCGGGAATCTTGAAAAAATTGAATCTCTGTGAAACAAACTCTTTTTAGAACGGCGCTTCAGTTCATCAAAAATTTTGGGATTTTTCAATCAAATTTTTATTTTACATGAATTTTCAAGGTTATTTTGAATTCGTCGTCAAAATATTTAACGTAAGCACGTGTTCCTGAGGATACAGTGAAATAGAGCAAAATCTGTGGTCTTATTTTTTTAATTGCATAAATTGAAAATTATTCGAACAAAATGAGCAAAATACTTGCTCGATTTTGAGATTTTGCTCATCTGGTATAAATGTAAAATTTGAAATTATTCGAGGGTATTGGTACTTGAAAAATATTTTAGCTCTGAGGTGTGCAAAAATTTTATTATAATTTTATCTTGTTCAAAATAAGATTCCCTAGAAAATATTAAAGATTATCCTACTTTATTCATAGATTGTGGGCGTGATTGAGGCATGAAAGCTGATTTCTTCCATCGATATGGGTCAATGATTTTCTTCCCATATTCCGGGTTTTCATCAATAAGAGAATATTGGAATTATTACCGAGAATCCCTGAAGTATCCGTCTGAAAGCAATAGGAAAAGGTTGATTGTCTGACTGCTTGTGAGTCATACAAAGACGAGTTTAAGTAATGCAATCGCTTTTTTATTTATTTATTAAATCCACGAATAAGGAGCAATATTTCTGAACAATTCATTCATGATGCGTGTGAGTGTCAGTCACCTCATGTACCGTCAAGTGCGAATAAAGCCGCAAAATTGGTAGATAATTGAATAAAGACAAAATGTGAAGGTTTTTTTATGCAATTCCGTAAGGAAATTTTCTTCAGCATAATACAAATTTTAAAAATATTCGAAGTATATTATCTTTATTTGAAATTTTGAAAAGACATTGGTGGTTGAAATTATCTGAAGGAAAATCGTGGTTGACTTTTCTCCTTATGAGACTTCAGAAAAAATTGTACATGTTGAAACAAATTATTTTAAATTTTCATTCTGAAAAACCTTTCAAGCCCACCTTTCTAATTTTTTGAAGAAATTCCACTATATTGTTGTTTCATTGATCCTTCACTTATTTTTACAAATGAGAAGACAATTTTCAAATACCTATCATGAAGTCTTTCAGGCAATACTTTCAGCATCTGGAAAAATGTCATGAAAACTTTTTTTTTTGTTGGTCCAGAGAATTTTTTGAAAATTTACTGGTCCGCAAAAAAAAATTATGGAAATTTACTGGTCCGCGAATAATTTTTATGGAAATTCACTGTTCCGTTGGCCCAAAAAGGTTGGGGAACGCTGCCCTAAAAAAACCAGGAGATGCCACAGCTATAATTGCCTGGTTTACTTTTCCTTGGCCCACCCTGTAAAATAATTTCCCGTAGTGCGGTCTCCCATAGGTCTTATGCACAAGTGCATCTTGACAGCAGCTTCCTCACATGGCATTATATATATATACGCTCACCAGAGCTGGAATAATATTCGGAATTAATTTAGCACTACAAAAAATGTACAGTATACCAGCAGCAGGGCTTTTTTTCCCTGAAAGATTGGCATAAATGGCTATAGCAACAGTTTAGATCCAATATAGTTGGCAACCTCCCAGCACCATAGGCTCCAGCAGACAAGCACCATGACTCTTCCTGCCTGCAAATCGATTGAATCCTCATTCATCACATTCCCCTTTGGCCCTAGAACCCCGTTTATGTACCAGTATATAAGATACATCAAACTGTGGACCACAGAGCACATTCCTTTCCACGGACAAACGGCTGTACAGCAATTTTTTTCTTTCTTCTAATATATGAAAGCACACACAAAATAGAATAAGTAGAAACACGCTGTTGCTAGGCCTGTAAAACAGGCCCCAGGAAATAACACAGGGACCTGAATACATTGTGCATGAGGTTGCAAATAGACACTGGGGAAGGTGTAATGACTTGTGCACCACACGACCCATTCTTGATGGTTGCCCTTCATAAGGAAAATTACATCAGGCATGCGATAGTTTCGAAACCTTGAACAATTTTCCCTCCAGCTGATAAAATGTTCTTTTAAAAAATTAATTAATATTATGTTTACATGTTGGATAATTCTTCAGAATTTCACAAAAATTGAAAGACGACTGGCACCGATCATCATCGTTTCAAGTGATTTGAAAATTTCTAATTTATTGTATTATATTAATTGGGGTAATAATTTATAATTATTGATCAATAGAAACGTCTCCCTTGGATTTGAAGAGAACACATTTTCTTTCTCGCTTTTCCTTCGATATTCCTGAAAAATGGCGCTTA